GTCACTGGGATCGGCTAATGACAGAGGACTCTAAAGTGACAGGCCGGGTGGCACCAGCACACCACTGTCACGCTGGCATTTCCACTGTGGTCCTTGTTAAGCCAGAAGGAACAAAAGTGTGCTGGGGAAAATAAGGATGGCGGCTTTCTTGTGAAACAGCTGATTTCAAAACTACTGACCACAAGCTGGCATCTGGAATTGGGCAGAGCCTCCTGGGACCAGCTGGACCGGGAAGAAGGCCCAATCAGCCCTTCCTCAGGGCCTGGACTCTCTGGGTCACCCCAAGGCCTGGAAGAAAGTATCCAGATCCTTCTTTGCACAAATGAACTGCAGATTCGAAATCAGCAAGAAGGTTCAGAACCACGGGAGTCTCAGATCCCCAAACCGGCTGGGTTTGCTTCAGTTTTCTCAGAAGCAGCATGTAGGTGCAGAGCTGGTGGGATGGGCCGCCCTGGGTTTCAGGGGTGATCTCCCGACAGCAGAGGTGAGATTTCATAGAATGGAGGGTGTGACATGATCTGTAACGTGGAATCCAGCAGAAGCGCCGGCACTTACAGGAAGAATGGAGGCCCGGGTGTCCCGGCCCACTTCATCATTCCCTATCCTGGAGCAGTCTGCATCCACGGGGAAGGTTCTCACTCAGTCCACACCTGGCAAATCCCATGGAGATGCCAGGCTGATCGTGAAACAAGGGCTGGCTGGAGCTGGCTCCCAGGCCCGGGGCTGGTCAGCAGCAGGGCAGTGGGAAGAAGTGGCCTTTGGACTCCCCTACCTGGCTCATGGCCCAGCTCCAGCTGTCCCTGCTGGGCACTCCTGGTGGTGGTGTCACCAGCCTGGGCCTCCATCTCTTTTTTCTTTTTTTTTTTTTCTGAGAGAGAATCTTGCTCTGTCACCCAGGCTGGAGTACAGTAGCTTACAGGCATGCACCAGCACACCCAGCTAATTTTTGTATTTTTAGTAGAGACAGAGTTTCGCCATGTTGGCCAGGCTGGTCTTGAACTCTTGACCTCAGGTAATCTGCCCACCTCCCAAAGTGCTGGGATGACAGGCATGAGCCGCCACACCCGGCCTTCGTTTCTTTATGGACAATGTGTGGTCCCAGCATCCTGAAGTGGGTGTGAGGCGCGAGTGGGCAGCCTTGGGGTGGGCTCCAGCGCACCTTGCCCCTGCGCTCCTCAGCCGGCCACATGCTACTCTGCTCTCTTCTGCGTGCTTTTTCTTCTTTTTAAACTGGGCTTGATTGGCTTAGGAAGAGACAGGAGACGCCACATACCATGCAGTTAAAAATAAGTCAGATTAAATCAGTAATTAGTCCTGTCCTGGCTTCCTAGGGCTGCTGAAATGCAAACTGGGGGCTTAAAACCATGGCGACTTACTCCCTCCCAGTTCTGGAACCCAGACGCCCAAATGCGTGTTGAAGGGCTGAGCTCCCTGCAGGCTGTGGGGAAGGACCCATCCCACGCCTCTCCTGGCTCCTGGTGGCTTCTGGCCAGCCTTGGTGTCCGGTGGCCTCGTCGCTGTCTCTGACTGCCTCGACGTCTTTACATGGCCTCCTTATAACAACAGCCATTGGAGTGAGGGGCCACTCAAGTCTAGTCTGACTTCATCTCCATTTAACTGATTCTATCTACAAAGGTCTTATTTCCAAATAAGGTCACATTTTGAGCATCCAAGGGGATGTGAGCTTTGGGGAGACTTGATTCCACCAACACCAGCATCGGGGAGGATGGGGCACGGAGATGACGCTAAGGCCCAGGGTGTGCACCCTGGATGGGCTCCCCTGAAATAATGGCGAGGGCAGGCCGGGCTGCTCTGAGGCGTGAGCTGCACGGGACATCTCCCTCGCAGGGGCCGTGGATCGAGGGAGGGTGGGGAGGAGACTGCCCAGAAGGGGAGATACCAGCTAAGTGCTGAGGCTGGTAAGAGGCCTCTAGGAGAAGGGGCAGCTGGGGGGGCAGAGGTGTGGGAGCCACACAGCAGGGGACATGTTCCACCCAGGCTCCTCGCCCTGCCTTCGTCTGGAGTCCCAGACCAGACAACAACACCTGCTCCCCATCTGCCATCTCTGGGGACCCCTCTGGGTTCCCCCACTCATAGAGAATGCCGAGGAGTTCAGGATAGGACAAGTACGTGTCCCTCAAGGCTGCTGTGTTGACGCCCAGTACCTGATGTCTGGGCTCTTCTCTAGACTGGCTGCTCACCCACCTGCTGCCTCCAAAACCAGATAAGAGAAGGTGGGGGAGAGGGTCAGGAGCCTCTCCGGCCCGGGAGCAGAAGCCCCCCGCAGCAGCCTCGGTGTGGGCCTCCTGCAGACTGTGCTGGAGGGGTCGCAGCAGTCCTCACCCAGGGCCGTGCCCTCCCAACAGGAGGCCGCCAGAGGCCCCTGTCCTATGTTTTGGAGCATGGACAGCCAAATTGGTTCATTCAGAACCAACCCGGTCATTTTGGAGGGAATGGGCTGTGCCCCATCCTCCACGCAATACCGGGCCAAGGCTAGCAGGTCTGAGGGTCCCCTGGGAGCTCTCTCCTGCACCCAGCCCCGGCCAGCTCTCCTGCAGGCTCCTCTTCTTAGGTGAGGCTGAGAAGGTGGTTGAAGTGCCAGGGTCCTGTGTGGGTGAAGGTGGCAGCTTCCCAGGGCAGCCAGAGGGCTCAGCTTCCCCCTCGACTTGTTCTCTGTGTGTCTTCACTGACCAGCTTTTCCGGGTATCTGGGCAGAGGGTGAGCAGCTGGAACCGTGAAGGTGTCCACACTTTCAGAGTCAGTCCCCTCCCAGAAGGGGCCAGGGACAGGGCAGGATGGCCGGGCAGTGCGGGAGAGTCTTCCCCTCTGGCCACATTCTCCCCATGCTGGGGAGGGGTGGTCAGAAGCCCACCAAATGGACAGGGAAGTAGGGACAGGTGAGCCAGACTGGATGAGTCTGTCCCTGGAAGCCCCATGACTGCCTCGTCTCCATGCCCTCTAAAATGCCAGATCCACAAAACCACAGTGATGTGCCTCTTCATGGCCACTGTGATGGCTACCATCAAAACACAGCAGAAAATTACAAGTGCCTTCAAGGAAGTGGAGAAGCTAGACCCCTCGTGCATCGTTGGCAGCACTGGGAGTGGTGCAGCCACTGTGGAAAATGGTGAGGGATTCCTCAGACGGCATGGTGATCCACAGGCCGTTCACAGCAGCAGGAGGTGGGACACCCAAGCATCCATCAACAGATGAATGGAGAAACAGAACGTCCCACACAAGGGAATATTACTCAGCCTTAAAAAAGAAGGAAGTTCGGAGGCATGCGCCACACAGAGGAACCTGAAGGACATCACGCTGAGTGAACGAAGCCGGTCCCAACAGGACAAATGCCGTATGGTTCCACATGTACGAGGTCCCTGGAGTACTCAACCCATAGAGGCAGAAAGTAGAGCGGGAGGTGCCGGTGCTGGAGCATGAGTGTGTAACGGGGTCAGAGTTTCAGTTTGGGAAGAGGGAAAAGTTTGGAGCTGGATGGTGTGATGGTTCCCTACAGTGTCAGAGCATTTAATGTCACTAAACTATGGTTTACATTTCATGTTATGTGCATTTACCGCAATAAAACAATTTAAGCCAGGTCCAAGGGTCCAGCAGGAACCAAAAGGACCTCCCAGTAATTCCCTGCCGTGTCCTTAGAAACCCAAGCCCCCTCTGGCATGGAGGGAGGCCTAGCACAAGAGGCTGGCAGTGGGGCGGGCCTTTGCACCCCACCTGCAGCCCTGCCTGGGCACCACATCTGTCAGGGCTACACCAGGTGCCCCCAGAGTTCCGAGTTCTCAAGAGACACTTCAGCTTTCTCATCCCCATAACCTTGTTCCCTTCATTCTGAGTGCCTCCCCTGAACCTGCCACATTCTCCCACTGGGGGCTCTGCTCTCCCCCACCCCAGCCTGATGACGGGTCCTGCTGCTGCCCTGATGCCCTGGCACTTCAGGCATCTGCTAAAAGGGCCCAGAACCAGGAACACAGGGGCTTCTGAGCAAGGCCCAGCTGCTCCTCCAGACCAGGCTTGGGCCCAGCTAAACCACGGAAGCACCCAGCTGCAGGAGGATCAGGGCAGGGGTCGGGCAGTGACAGCCACCCGTTACTTCCTCCTACACTAACCACACCTGAACAAGTGAGCACATTCTCCTGCCAGATACCAGCAGCCAGACACAGCCAGTGCCCCTCCAGCCCAGGAGCACATCTTCCTCAGTCATGCACCTGCACTGCCACACACGTGGTGGTGGACAGACCTGTGTACCAGGGGTGGTGTGTGTCTGTGTGTGCACCAGGGGTGGTGTGTGTATGTGCTTGCTAGGGGTGCTGTGTTTGTGTGGGTGTGTCTGTGTGCCAGGGTGGTGTCTGTGTGTGGGTCTGTGTGTGCCAAGGGTGGTGTGTGTGTGTGTGTCTGCATGTGGGTCTGTGTGTGCACTGGGGATGCTGTGTGTATGTGTGTGTGGGTGCATCTGTGTGTGTATGTGTGTGCGCTGGGGGGAGTGTGTGTGGGGATGTCTGTGTATTCTGGGAGCATGTGTGTGTGTGTGTGTCTGCATGTGGGTCTGTGTGTGTCTTTGTGTTTGTGCACTAGGGGTGCTGTGTGTCTGTATGTGTCTGTATGCTGTGTGTCTGTCTCTGCATGTGTCTGTGTGTACACTGGGGATGCTGTGTGTCTATGTGTGTGTGTGCCTGTGTGTGCACCAGGGGCAGTGTGTGTGTCTCTGTGCACTGAGGGTGCTGTGTGTATGCACTGGGGGTGCTATGTCTTTATTTCTGTGTGTCTATGTGTGCGCTGGGGTGGTGTGTTTGTGTGTCTGTGTTTCTGTGTGTGTGCACTGAAGGTGCTGTGTGTGCACACTGGGGACAGTGTGTGTGCCTGTGTGTGTTGGGGTGCTGTGCATGTGTGTGTGGGTGCATCTGTGTGTGTATGTGTGTGCGCTGGGGGGAGTGTGTGGGGGGATGTGTCTGTGTGTGCTTGGGAGTGGTGTGTGTGTGTGTGTGTGTGTGTGTCCCACGCTGTGGTCAGCTCTGCCCCTCTGGGAGCTTGCTGGGGCAGAACCCAAGGGCCTCAGCCACTGCTGACAAAGGGGAAATGTCCTTCTTGGGGTCACTGTCAGGACTCCTGACTGCACTGCAGGCGCTGATGAGGGGGACACCATTCCTCCCTGGAAGGGTGTGGGGGTCAGTGATCACCGGGAGCTGCCGGATGAGACCTGGAGAGGCAGTGACCGGCCTTGGAGAGCCTGGGCAGGAGAAGCCGGCCATAGCCAGGCTGCCCACCAAGAGCGTCCCAGGGCCTAGGTCCAGGCCAGGGGCAAGTGCACGCAGGAGCAAGGGCCCGATTGGCCACCGCGAGTCATGTGACACCCAGTGAGTGGGCGTGAGCACCGCCCTGACTGGCCGCTGCTGGGCCATGTGACTGCCAGCTGCGAGCCTGATTGGACGTGGTGAGGTCACGGGGCCTGGCTGAGGGGTCGTGGGCGGGCGCAGCAGCTCCCCGTGCTGGCCGAGGACTGCCATGTTCCCGCAGCCACCGGTGGGGAGCTCTTCCCAAAGGGTGCAGGCTCCACGGCCGGCTCCACGGCCAACTCCACGAGGGTCCCAGGCGGAGGGAGGCCTGGGGGGTCCGAGCCTCTCGCAGCCTCCATTGAAGAAGGGCTGGGCTGCCCGGAGCGTCCTGGGGCTAAGGGGGAGCCGGAGCCTGGGCAAAGCCCGGGGGTCCTGCCTGGGGTCGCCCACCTTCCTTCCCCGGCCAAGCTCCCCGCCAGCCCCGCGTGCCCAGGCCTCGGGCCTGGGGAGGGCGACATGATGCACACAGGCCTGGCCCCCCACGCCTCGCAGGACCACGGGGCAGGGAACGCATCTCACATCTCGGGGACCTCGGGGGCCTGGCCTGGGCTTCTGCCCTTCATCCCCTCCGGGAAGGGGCCGCTCCCTGTCCCCGGGTCTGCCCCATGAGCCGCTCGAAGTGATCTGATGGCGGCTGCAGAAGCCCAGCTTCTCGCCTGAGCCTGCCCCGCCAGCCGCGGGTGACCTGGAGTCAACCTCCCCACCTCCCCGGGTGTAGGTGACCTGGAGTCAACCTCCCCACCTCCCCGGGTGTAGGTGTCCATTCACACTAAGCATTCGCACGCGGCGGGGACGAGGGGAGAAGCAGCAGCGGAGGCAGGAGGAAGACGGGTCCGCAGACAGAAGCATCACCTCTTCCTATGCCCCGGTGGGGGAGACTCCGTGGCTGTGCCACGTCCTGGAGGGTTTTAGAAAGAGGCTGTGTTTGCTTTGCCCCTAGATATCACTTAGAAACACTATGTCCCCTAATTGTTCTGTGGGGGGAGGTTGACTATTTTTACCTTGAGACAGAGTTTGGCTCTTGTTGCCCAGGCTGGAGTGCAGTGGGGCGATCTCTCGGCTCACTGCAACATCTGTCTCCCCGGTTCAAGTGACTCTCCTGCCTCAGCCTCCCGAGTAGCTGGCATTACAGGTATGCGCCACCACATCCCGCTAATTTTGTATTTTTAGTAGAGGCAGGGTTTCTCCATGTTGGTCAGGCTGGTCTCAAACTCCCGACCTCAGGTGATCCGCCCACCTTGGCCTCTAGACTATAAGCTGGGGTTACAGGCATGAGCCACTGTGCACAGCCTTTTTCTTTTTCCTTTCCTTTTTTTTTTTTTTTGAGATAGAGTTTTGCTCTTATTGCCCTTTTCACTCTTGTTGCCTAGCTGGCCTGGCACAATCTCAGCTCACTTCAACCTCTGCCTCCCGAGTTCAAGCGATTCTCCTGCCTCAGTCTCCCAAAGTGCTGGATTACAGGCCGTGCCACCATACTGGCTAATTTTTGTATTTTTAGTAGAGACGGGGTTTGCCATAGTGGTTAGGCTGGTCTCGAACTCCTGATCTCGGACGATCCACCTGCCCTGGCCTCCTAAAGTACTGAGATTGCAGGTGTGAGCCACCGTGCCCGGTCATGTCCCATAATTGGACCTGCGCTAACAAATTTATATTTTTAAAATATTTTATTCCAGTTTGTAGCAAAGATGGCGCTATGGTTTGAAAGTGTCCCGCAAAGTTCATGTGTTGGAAGCTTGATCCCCAACGTGGAGATGTTGGGAGATGGGGTCTCATGTGACTGGGTCATAGGGGCACGACCCTCACTCACCAGTGGGATGAGGGCAGTTAATGCCATTATCTCAAGAGTGCATTCCTTATAAAAGGAGAAGGTGGCCCCATCTTGCACTTGCTCTCTTTCTCTCTTCCCCCTCTCCTCTCTCTCTCTCTCTCTCTCTATCTCTGTGTGTGTGTGTGTGTGTGTATTCTCTCACTTTCTCATTCTGTCTTGCCCTTCTGCCTTCTGCCTTCCACCTTGGGAAGCCACAGCAAGAAGGCCCCGCTCTTGGACTTCCCAGCCGCCGGAGTCATGAGCCAATACATCTCTGTTCATTACAGATTACCCAGACTGAGGTCTTGTTACAGCTGCACAGACCGGACTAAGACAGGGAGCCAGCATCCGACCAGCTCACGGTCTACAGAAAGAGCGTATCTTTTCCCTGACAGTTTCAGCCACGGTCCCAGGGAAGCCCTTCGTTGCCAGGTTTATATCATGTTCAATCTCTAAAGGTGAAGAATGTAGGTCAGCACATCCAAATCATCTGGACTAAGGGCAGGAGGGGATGCTTCCTGGGAGCTGTTACATATGAAGGAGCCACAGACTCATTTGCATGGGCAAAATCAAAAGATGGACCCCCAGTAGGGAAATGCTTTTCTTATTTATTCTGAGAACTCTTTATATATTAAAGGCATGAATCCTCTACATCTTTCTTCCACATGTTCATTCATTACTTGTCTCTGTGGGTTTTTGCAGGAGGCTCATAAACGCTGCCTTGTGAGCGTATCATTCCTGGAGCACACCTGCCATGCAGCATCATTGCATCACAACGCCCACCAGGAGCAGATTGCCAGGCCGCGTTCTCTGGGTGTGAACAACAACAGCAACAAACCTGTGGCTAGTTCTTCAGTCAACAAATTGGTATTCGAAAGGCTGTCATCGCTAGTACGGACGTCATCGGTGAATGAGAAGGCAGAGCCCGCAGCCGCACCTAATAAAAGGCCAGCAGGGAGATACAATCTGCTGTGATTGTGCAATGATGGGACAGAGGCCGGGGGTCACTAGTCCAGGTGCAGTTTTGAGTCCTCACGCAGTCTTTAAAATGTGATAAGGAATGTAACTTTGAACTCAATAACCTTTCCACCACGCTGTGAGCTAAAGGCAAATACAACGGGTGGCCGGCCCCTGCCAGAGACAGGCACTGCGGGCCGCCCTCTCTCCAGGCAGGGCGGGGCACCCTGAGTGCTCAGTGGGCTTCCCAGCCCTCAGTCCCCAGACAGTGAGGGTCCCCGTCCTGCTGGGTGCCCCCCACCCCAGCTCCTGAGCCACATGGTCACGGCTGGGGAAGCACAATCCCAACCCTCAGGAAGGGTTTGTCATCTTGCAACTCAGGACCCCTGGGCCAATCACAGCAGCCTCAGCCTCAGTTTCCCTCTTGTTCATTTCCCATGTACTCCAGGGACCTCCCGAGGGACGTTCCCTTCCCAGATAAGGCTGAAGTAAACCCTGGCATGCAGGTGGGGTTGGGGGGGGGGGTCCTGGAGGGGACATGCCTTGCTAAAGCCACCAAGCCCCCAGCAGTGCGCAAAGATGGACAGGAGGGCGGCAGGGGCATAGCTGGGCTCCATGGAGTGGGGTCGGGGCTGGATTCTGGGAATGGAGCCCCAGGGTGGGAAGAGCAAAACACCTTCCCTGCGTGGGGAGGGCACCCCATCCCCTGCACAGACCCTGCCTGCCCACTCCACTGCTTCTGGCCCAGGGGAGTCAGGCCTGGAAGGATGTGGTGGGCGTCACTAGCTCTGGGTGACTCCTTTTATGGGGAAACTTTGGAACTTCATCTGAGAAAGCCCTGTGCTAACCAGGGCCCTGCCTCCGGCCAGGGCAAGACAAGGAAGCCGTGCAGCCCTCAAGGCTGTTGCTCCCGGGACGGTGCCGTTTCCTGTGACAGCTTCAGCACTCGGAACTCACCCTGGCACGCAGGAGGCTCACACGGCACACTTGCCAAAGGAGCTGACGGGTGATTGAATTAGTGAACAGAGAGTCCCCATCTCTCCGTGTGTGCCTGCACGTGCTTTTGCTTGCCTGTGTGTGCACGTTTGAGGGTATGCTTGTGTTCACTACATGCAACTGTGCGTGTCTGCAAGTGTGTATGTGTATTTTTATGTGTTTTCTTGTGCACACCTGTATATTCAGGTATGTACAGATATTTGCTTTGTGTACATGGCATGCGTGGGTGTGTGCTTGTGTGCTTGCTGTATGCATGTATGTGTGTGCTGTCCAGTGAATGCAGGCATGTACTCATGTGTATAAGTTAGTGTGTGCACAAATGTGTGTGCACGTGTGATTTTGTGAGTGCTTGTGTTTGTGTGTATAACTTTGTGTGTATGTATGTTTGTGTGGGTGGGTCCGTGTGTGCACATGTGTCTGTGTGGGTGGGTCCGTGTGTGTGCACATGCACATGTCTGTGTGGGTCGCTCCATGTGTGCACATGTGTCTGTGTGGGTGGGTCCGTGTGTGTGCACATGTGTCTGTGTGGGTCAGTCCATGCATGCACATGTCTGTGTGGGTCAGTCCATGTGTGCACATGTGTCTGTGGGGGTGGGTCCGTGTGTGTGCACATGCGTCTGTGTGGGTCAGTCCATGTGTGCACACGTGTGTGGGTGGGTCCATTGTGCACATGTGTCTGTGGGGGTGGGTCCATGTGTGCACACGTGTGTGGGTCGGTCCATGTGTGCACGTGTCTGTGGGGGTGGGTCCGTGTGTGCACATGTGTCTTTGGGGGGGTGGGTCCGTGTGTGTGCACATGCGTCTGTGTGGGTCGGTCCATATGTGCACATGTGTGTGGGTCGGTCCATGTGTGCACACGTGTCTGTGGGGGTGGGTCCGTGTGTGCACATGTGTCTGTGGGGGTGGGTCCATGTGTGCACGTGTCTGTGGGGGTGGGCCCGTGTGTGCACATGTGTCTGTGGGGGTGGGTCCATGTGTGCACACGTGTCTGTGGGGGTGGGTCCGTGTGTGCACACGTGTCTGTGGGGGTGGGTCCGTGTGTGCACACGTGTCTGTGGGGGTGGGTCCGTGTGTGTGACATATGTGCTCTCCTTTAAGCTCAACCCTGGCCAAACCTCTTGACCTCTTGGAGCCCAGGGCTGTGCAGCTACTTTGTGGAGCACTTAGGGGCATTTCAATCAAGTTGCAAATGGGCTGTGGTGACCTGGAGGAGTGGGTAGATGACCTCACCCAGCTGCACACAGAGGGTGTGGGTCAAGCACTGTGTACTTAAACTTGGCATTGAAGTAGAATGGACACCCCAGAAGGTGATGTGACAGGGATTTCCCCCACAGACACTCACAAGGGAACCGCCCCAGGGAGCCGTCCCAGATACCCCTCCACCCTCCGGTCACCCCACTCCCCTGGAAGCATTACCCACTCCAGGCACTTTGGGGGGCAGAATGGAGACTGTCCAGTTCCCCAGGTGGCACTTTCTCTGCCCTCTCTCCCAGCTGGTTCCTCCAGGCACCAACCCCCAACAGCACCACATGCTCAAGGGTTAGTGACAGATGGCCGAGCAAGGCAAAGTGGTCCCAGGGGCTCTGAGCAGGAAGGGATTTAATGCAGGGAAGGAGAGTCGCAGGACCCAGGACAGGCTGCAGACTCCAGGCGGGCCTCCTGGGAGACTCGGGCACAGAGCGCCACCCCGCTAGGTGCTGTCACCACGGCAGCCCCTGGAGCTGTGCCGGGAGCATGAAGCTGCCAGGGCCACTTCACTGCCACTGCCCTGCACCCCCAGGAGCTGGAGAACAGACCCGCATGACTGTGAGCACCTGAGAGCCAGGCGAGGCAGGGGAAGCAGCCACGCCTGCAGCCACCCTCACTCCAGCACACAGATAACATAGCAAGACAAGGTGGTGTCTCCGTGGGGTGCCCCCGTAACCCCACATCTCATACACACTGGCCTGATGGGTGGCCTCCCCCACATCTGGGACCCTGGCTAGAGTCTGGGAGGTGGCTGCCTGTCCCGCCTCTCCTAAGCACGGAAGCCCGGCAGGGATACAGGGCAAGTTCTCCCAGTGGTCAGTGGGGCCCCAGCCCTAGCCGCCTGGGTGCAGCGAGGGCCCCCCTCGAGCCTGCTGATGGCCAGTGACCAACCGTCCTCTCATCCTACGGCCTCAGGTCTATGGTCCTCCGGGCAGGAAATGTCCAGCAGGCCAGAGGCTCCTGTGTGCGTGGAACAGCCGTGTTTACACAGGTGTTGGCCCATGGCGCTGGCAGGGCTCCTGTCACACCAGCCGTCGGGCCTGTGGTGAATGCCAAATGCTGGTGCCTGGGAAGGGAAGTGGGAAAGGACAAGGTGGCGGCAGGGGTGGGGAACCTGAAGGGGAGCGGCCTTGACGGGGACAGTACGACAGCCGGAGGGGGTGGGGTGCATGGGGGTGGCAGAGGCAGGTGTGTGGATGTGTGTGTGACGTGCCCACTGTGTGTGTGGCTGTGTGCATGGCGTGAGTGCTGGCGTGTGTGTGCCGAGGGCCTGGTGCCAGGTCCAGGGAGGCCAGGGTGGCTGCTAAGAGCCTGCAAGCTGTTTTTTGATTTGTAGTTATTTGAAAAGTCTACACAAGAAGAAAATTAAATCTCATTTACTAAATACAATAAACTTACAGGAAGGCAGAATTGTCCCCAGATTACAAACATGTGGACCCTGAGTTGCTCCATGATAGCTCAGCCCCAAACCACGTGGCGGGCATGGCAGCCCTGAGCCCTGGGCCCAACTGCTCCCCGCCAAGGTAACACACGAGCCTGGTAAGTCAGACCCCCAGAGCCCCACAAAGCAGGGGTCTGTGTGGAGGGAGGGGCCCCTGCCTGCTGTCCCTGCCTAGCCTGCGGTCCTGCCCTCGCCGGGCAGCGGACCCTGGACGGCTCGTGACCATGACCTCTCTTGGAAAGCGGATCTGGGCCGGTCTGACCCTCCTCCCCCGGAACAATCTGAGGCCCACCAGCAGTGGCAGCAGGTCTTCGTGTGGTCTCAGGACCGTGTCCCAGGATCAGAGCCCAGGCCAGAGACCCTCGCCAAGGCTGTCACCCAGGAGGGAGGTGATGGGAGGCCACAGCGGGGCCCAGGCTGGAAGTGAGAGGGGTGGGGCCTATGGCAGAATGACAGCCAGCACAGAGTGGGCAGAGGCCAGAGCAGGGCCCAAGGTGGCCAGGTGGGCACCAGGCTCGGGAGACACTAGGCTTCGAACTGAGGAAGGGGAGGCACCGGAGCCGGACGCCCACTGCCCAGAGAGAAGGGCTGGGTCCTTGAGGGCCGCTGCTTCTGGGTGTCGTGCGGCCACTGAGGCTGAAGCTCAGTCGCCCCGACTCCGTGGTCCCTGTGCAGACTCCCAGCAGCTGGCTACCCCTGACTGCCTACTCTCAAATGCAGACACACCCTGGCACCACCCGGCCAAGATCCCACATGGCCCCGGGGCACCCTGCTCGCCTCACTGGCCTTGTCCCAGATCAGGAGGTGCTCACAGCACCGTCCTACACACCAGCCTTGAGCCAATGCCAGAGTTGTGAGGCCAAGCGCAGCCTGGACCTCCACTCCGGCCCTGGTGGCCGTCCGCCTTGTCTCCTATGGGGAAAGTGGTTTCTCTTTGGCCCAAGCCCACCTGCCCCTGCCTGAGGGTGCCGTGGGACTCTGCACTCAGCCGGTCGGAATCCCAAGTGCTCGTGTCCACAGCAGGCCCAGCCAGCAGGGAGAGGACCCGGGGCTCCCCTCGGCGGCATCACAGAGGAGGCCCCCTCAGGCACCACTCGTTCATGTGGCTGCTCAGCCCTGCCCTCTCCCTCCTCCCGGATTTCCCACTGGGCTTGCAGGGACCGCCCCTAATAGACTCCATCACCCAAGCCATGTGCCTGGGCCTGCCATTGGGTGTGGACGGGAGGTGCCCAGTGGAGGGTGCTTTGACTGCAGGAGCAGGCGCCCAGGCTGTCTGAGGAGGCCAGGGCGTGAGAACTGGACAGCCTCACCCTGGCTGTTTGG